TACACCGAGTTCTCAAGCCACACCCCACATTTTGTAAACTCACATTCCAAGAAGGCATACACACTGTTAAGTTAATAAAAAACATGTTTAAGTTACAGCCTTGATTGAGAGAAAAAAGCATATGTAACACTTGCCTTCAGTGTACATCACTGATCATTGAAGTCTACTTCCTAGATGATACAGAAAGATGAAAAATGAAAGTTGAAAAACTTTCAAATGAACAAATGGTCAGTGCCCCAAAATTAATTCTTAAGGGTACATCAGACAGTTACACCAAGATCCTATTCCAAAACTGAGTAGAATATTCTCCTTCCACCTCTTGCATAGAATGTAAACAGTACATTCCATAGGTGCCTCTCCCTCTTTGCTATTGGAATAACAGACACTGTGTATGGAAGACTTCAGATTTTTACTCAGCTGTGTGGCTGTCAACCTAACCAGCTCACCAGCAGTTCCCAAAGGACTCATCCAGTGAAGTAACAGGAGTCATTCTTCACTGCAGGCTCTAACAAGCATGAGATCAGCTACACAGATGTTATAAAATGTCCTCAAAAAAATCTCAAACAGAGGCAAAATTGGCTCAGTATTCTCTGCTGAAACTGCTGACTTCAAACAGCATATTCCTTACAGACACTTCCAGATAGATATGAATTAATACAGCACTTCCATTGGCAAGACCTATTAATTCCTGTGGATCACTAGTTCTATTGAAAGTATATGTAACAATTTAACATTTTCAGGTACTCTTCCTAAAAGACACTGCCTTAAGTACATTACATACCATTATGGATTCTCCTTCTTTCACTTTGGATATTATATGTATAAAACAAAACATATCACTTGAGCTAAACAAAATCATTCTCAGGGAGAAAGTCTCCACCTTTTAAGTAAAGAAATATTTTGTAGTTCAATAACACTTTGAAAATCATGAAGTGTTAAAAGGAAAGAACTGTTTCAGAGGTATTACATGTATACCTTTATCATATACATCTAATCACTGAAGCAGCAGTTATAAAATGATTAGCTATAATCTCCAACTGTCTATAGTTGTCATCCTTAAACCACTACTGTAGCAGGAAAAGATAGTGATCTTTAATGACACATAGTACACGATTGTTGTCATACAACAGTCAACAACCCTGGACTAAATGCTTGGAAGTTACAAACTGCACATTAGACACTGTATTTTATCCAACTGTCTACAAAACACAAATTTACCCTGCAATGTGAGCAAGATACTAATCTGAGAAAATGGTTCAGCTTTCTGTTTAATGGCATACAACTGCACCAGGGTTAACAGAGTATCTTAAGTTGAAATGAGGTATTCCCTTTCCACCCTTTTCTTAACTGCCTCATATATGAGACATTTCCACATCAGATATCACATTGATAGCTCTGCTATTTGCATTGTCCTACTCCATGGTCACGTAGCTTGGTAACATGTGACTTAGAATAGTTCTGCTTCTGAATGAAAGGTGACCTATGAGACATTTAACTCTTCATGAAAAGAGAGCACTGTTAAGAAAAAGTTTATACTGGAAAATCTTGTAAAACTCAGTGTTCGTACAGTATAGAATAACACAGTAAGAGGGTTCAAGGTTGTGTCTGCACATGCACAATTAGATAGAATAGTAAAGACAGGTTAAGAAGTTTTGGTTTCTCTATTTGGACAGAAAGTCCTTATTACCATTACTGGTACTCTTTTTCTTGGGAACAAATCTAGAATTTATTATCACAGCAAATACTTTACTGGACAAAATCTGCTGTAGAAGACAAAAGTCCTTTCTTTTTGAGTCTCTTAGCAGTTTCTCATTGTCATTCCCATGAAATATCATTTCCCTTAAGACATGATCGCAGGCATTCAGACAATGAGTTTTGAGTTATTGCTGCCAACTCCTTGCTGTGATCTGGAATCCTCTATGCAGCTAAGTGACACTAATAGCTTAGCACACTTCCCAAGCAACTGGCTCCAGACATACCTATTGCTCTACAGGGCTTTCCACAGAAATGTTAGTTTCCTCTAAGTCAGAATTATTGAAAGACTTGTGTATTTCACAAACTAAATGACACCAATCTCTAGAGCATTCAATGCACAAAAGCTGTGAGCTGCATAGGTATCCTTCATGTCAATCTGTGTAACTTAGGTCTTTTTAATAAGCTTACAAGATAAACAAATGAATAACTAACTGCTTCCATTTCTCTTAAAATGAGTTTTCTAGCCATCAGAAACAGCCTTCATGATTTTAGCCTTTGAAAACTAAGGTAACAGCAAAAAATCCTGCAATAAGAAACCTTTAACAACATTACAAACGTTAACAAATAACTTTATAACACTGCCCATCTTTGGGGCATTTGCAGCCAATAGCTTATCATTAGAGGAAGATGAACAGAAAAATGAACAGAATGTCTAGATGTTTCATTAGTGAAAGTGTGCTCCCACCAAACCAATGCTCTGCAACACACTCAGTGCTCCCCCTGCACCAGATGTTGTTGTTTGCTGTGATCAGAATTTCCCACACAAACCCAGTCGATGAAAAAGTCCTGCAGGCCACGATAAAGTGCCTTACCAAGGACGTTCAAAAAGAGAAGATGCAATCTCAGTACACAAATATCTTGTAATAACAATATTCAAGAAAGATGCTATCAAGGGAGGCTTAGCACCATACAGTTTAAACAACACAAGGATGAACAAAGAAAGCGAGGCTGACTGTTGGCTTGCAGCTCCTCTCCCTGATTTACGTAGATGTTAAGAAGCTGTTAACAGGAGTGCACAGGAAGCAGGTCCTTTCCTAAGAGGGAAGACCTTTACAAGACCAAAGTTGTAACTTTTCATGCACATTCAGTAAACAAAAGCACCCATGTGCATGACATGAGGGAAATCTGCCATGATTAGTTTCAGACATGAGTTCAGCATGGCCCATGCTGAATAGCGTTGAATGTTGTCAGTGAAAAGAATGAGGAAAAACAGCTTTAGACCAACATAGTGCTTTACACAACCTGTGTTTAAGAGTTTTTAACCTGGCAGAGTTGCATAGTCCATTTTGGAAAAGGCATAAAGGAGATCTGGTGATTCATGCAATAGTTCAGAGTCTCATGAGATGCTTCCAAGCCTAACACCAACATCCAACTCAAAGAGCCAGACCCAAACTCAGAACAGGTCAGTCAGGGTTTTGTACAGCCAGGTCTCAAAAACCTCCATAGATGGAGGCTGTATCTCAAAGCCTTATTAATCTCTCAGTAACAAATCAATGATCCAGTTTTCTACTCAACTAGCAGCCCTCCTCCCAAGACTAATGACTCAGTTTTGAAACAAGAGAGCTAGGGAAAGGCTGTAGAAAGTGTTGCTGAAGTTAAGGTAAAAGGAATACGCAGCTTCCCCTTATTTATGCATCTAGAGATTTCACCACAGAAATAGGATGATCATGCACAATTTTCCATTGTTTTATTCATGCTAGCTACTTCCCAGCACTTTCTTCTTTCTTGTGCCTATAAACATGTTTTAAGAGGACTCACTCTATAAACTTCCTGACAGAGTAAAGCAAGGTCAATTAGTCTACAGTGCTTCAGATCATTATTCTCAGCCTTTGTGAAGATGAATGTAATATTTGCTTTTCCCCAGACACCACAGACTGCCTCTGATCACAAAAAACTTTAAAAGATGATAAAGAATACCCTCACTATATTACTGGCCAGCACTACAGATACTTTAGGTACAGCTCAGATTACCTCATAGGCTACACTTGGGTCAAATATTTTCAAGAGATCCTGGAGATGCTCATCTATTTCTAGACATTCTCCTTCTTGAACACTTTCTTTAAGAACACAGGCCTGGAAGATTCTGTCAGAGAAGACTGAAGCAAAGAATTCATTAAGTATTTTAGACACATCCATGTTGGCAACTGCTAATATACACAGCCCATTCATCTATTTTCCTTGTTCATTCCTATACTGTTAATGCAGCAGAATAATTTTCCCTATGGGAGCAGGGTGTGTGGAGCTTGGGGGCTTGATATGCATCATTCCTTGTTCTTCAGCTTCTGGTGCATTGGGACTTTTCTGAAACTACCCCTATGTGTTTGGGCGATGTTTCTGTATTTGTCTTTTGTAGCTTGTCACTACTTTCATCTCCCCTGTGCTGCCTTTGCATTGCAGTACAAAGTTGCAAGTTTTCCATTTAGCCCAAAGAGTCTCTCAGTGAGTGTCTTCATTTTTCAAGACATACCATTATTGTGCTTTGATGACACTTGTCCTTAAAAACCCCACAGCTTTCAACCACAGATTTACTCTTCAGAATTGACTTCTTCTGAATTACACCTACCAGTTCCCTGAACAAGCCAAAGTTTAGGGTTTGTATTCCACTTCCTCACCTCTAACAGGATCTTGAATGCCACTGTTTCATTCCCTAACAGATTTTCAACAAAACCACAGGTTTTGATGAGCAGTTGATTGACAGCACTACCATGCCCTCTAAGATAATTGAGTTTAATTGCTGGACCTGATTAGCACCACCACTTAAACTTTTGGAAGTGCTACAGAAACTGTACATTCAGTATGATAATGAAATGGAACACAAATAGTTAGGACAAATCCCCATATGTAACTATGGAGTTCTCCCTCACACTGTGTAACATTTTGAGTAACATCCAGGAATTAGTAACTTCTGCCAAAACTGTGTTTTCAATTAAAACACAGAACATTGCACTCTAGGATCCAGAATGCAAAGAAATGAAACAAGAGCATAACTTCTACCACAACATCCATGCCTACAAGGAAGTAATTTTTTTCATGCCCTGATGAACTGTAAATAGCACTACATATAATTAATCTAAATGCTACATTATGCAGTTCACACTTAATCAAAACTCTCAGTGACCCTGCACTACCAACCACATTTGCTTCTGCTTTAAATACCAAGCCTGACTTTCTCCCCATTATGCGAATGACTGAAAATAAGAAGTGTTTTATCAGATAAGAGTATTTTCTACCAGACAGGTGCTTACTTTGGGATGCTGGTCAGGTAGGTCAAGACGTTCTGGAACTCCTTCTCAGGGATCTCACTGAAAGCTGGGTAGTCTGGAAAGGTGATAACAGGGCATCCATCTCCCCCTCTTCCACCTACAAAAGAAACAAGCAGCAAGCGTGTTTACACTTAGGTCCTTTTATCTAGTCTGCAATTTGCCATTTAAACTACTGTACTTTTTGTTCTCTTTAAGCAGCACTCAGAGTGGACACTATGTATTCTGAATAAGCTAATCTTTTGAGCTTAGAAAGTTTTATAGGTAAGGACTTGTTATGCCACATCAGATTTTTTCCTGTGTACATTGTTTCATGTGAACACAGTTTAGACACCAGGTGGCAGTGCATCTTTCATTTGATGTGTTAAATTCAAGTAAATACAACCCATATTGTAATGGGTTAAATAAATAACTGATTTAGGAAAAAAAAAATTCAAAATTAAGCAGGCAAATCTCTATCTTGAACCAAACTCTACCTTCTCAACTTGACTAATTCCTGCAAGCCTCTCCTCTGCTCTGCTTTCAGGACAGTATAGAAGTGTTGGCAAACCAAGCTAGAGGAAGATATTTTAGATGAGGTTTCCTGTTCAACTTCTCAGATTATCTACAAAAGGTAAAGTGGAGCCAAGCATCTATGCTAGAGCATGGTTGCTGAGCAGATAGATCACCTTATCTGTACTTCTCTGACACTTGCACCACAGCTTTTTAAATGCACTTCACATACATTTTTATATGTCACAATACAGTGTCATTATTATTATTATTATTATTATTTTTTAAGGTGCTACTAATACTTAAGCAAATATCTTCACAGAAATACGTTGGACACAGGAGCTGTTGAGCTGTAGCAGCTGTGTGAATTTCACAGCTGGGGGAGTTGTGGAGACAGTGCTGGAAAGTTATCTTTGCTCAGCAGTTTGAAAAAATTAAAACAGACAAAAATGACTGTGACAAAATGGTAAGTATATATTTTACGGCTTTCAAATCTGATCATTTTGTATAAATCCATTGTAAAATGCATTACTAGCACTATCTGATCATGAGAGCAAGTGCCTCTGCATCCAGCCTCACCAGAAAAAGAAGAAATACTTGAACTCGGACTTATTTGATAAAAGAAACCACCATTTCCCTCTGAAGCCACAAGTAATTGCAACAGCCCAAATGATATCCTTATGTTAATACACAGTGAATCTGACTTGCATCTACTTGGTTACAGGCAATATGGTGCTACCACCATGCAGCTCTTGAAGTCAAACATCAGAAAATAGCGTGCTTTGGATTCATTTAAGCAATAATAAAATGCAACTGTTAGATAAATCATGAGTTTGCAAACAGAACCTTTATGACACATCCAGACATTGCAACTCTAAGTTAAGGGAGCTACTTTTAGTTACACAGATGCTCACAACACAAACCTAAGTTAAAAAAACAACAACAACAACTGGGGTTGTTATTGTTATTATTTTGCTCTATTCATGTGCTAGGGAACAATGCATTTTCCTCTCTCATTTTTACCAAAAGCATTTTTCAGGCACGTTTAATGAACATTGCCTACATAGTGTCCTGCTCTCTCTAGAATATCTATATTTAGTTATCATTATACATTATTTTTAGTTCTCCCCTGGTTACTTGCTTTGTTCTATAAACTTCTATGAATAGGCCATATGAAACAAAAGAAAAAGAACAATACGTTTGGCTGGACATGGCCTCAAAGCAGAACCACGGAGCATGACTTTCGGGAAGTTCCCAGACCACCACTAATTGTCAAGGGGAAACACAGAGCCATCCTGCCTTGACAAAACCTATAAATTTTTGGTTTCTAGTGTACTCATCATTGGTTATCGTGGGTGGGGATGACTCTATCCTGTGTGTTAGTACACAGTTGAGCACCAGTACTCCTGTATTTTCCCAACTGGATGCTTGGACACACCTATACTTCCCAGGGCTGCTTGAGCGCTTCTCATCACCAGAGCCTGACTGCTGCAAAGAGCTTATCTGATGTGTTCTCCTTACTAAATTCTGTAGAATTTAAGCTTTAACATTTCAGTGCACAAAGTGACTTCTTCGCATAGCAGCTTGAAATAGATGATACTGCAACTGGAAGTACACTGCTCCAAGTGAGAGACATGCTGCTCTAGAAAGCACTGGTTTCCTGCAAATTAGTGTCATGTTTCTGGTAAGGAATTTCCCCTTTCTAACTACATTACTCAAGTAATTGGAGTACTCAGAGTATCTGAAATTAAGAGTAGACTTCATTGAAGTAGTGGATAAAAGCACAACCTTTGCAAAGGAAAAAATAAAGAGAAGCAAGAGGTAATTGTTAAAAAAACCTGCTCCTTGAAATGAGAGGCAAGGTTTGTTTATATTAGTTCCATAGCTGCATTTTGCCCAGGCTGATCAGCAGTAAGAATACCAGCTTAGAAAGGAGAGGTTTCTTCATTTTCTTTTTTAAATCTCTACAGACTGAGAGTTCAATGTTCTGAATGTTAAGCTGCAGTTAAGTCTGTACCTGAGTGAGACAAACTGCTACATTTCTACCTCTTCTACCGTCAATACATAACATACAGACTGAATGTCATACGGGCAACAAAACACGTTTAAATTTAAAAATAAATACTGCTATATGATGCTGAATTCATACAGAAGTTCAAACAATTTTACAGACTCAGCGCCCATGGAGCAGTTTAACAAGGAAGGAATTTCCACATCATTTCCATAGGAAAGAGCAAAAGCACTGACAATGAGATAAGGTTACCGAGAGAAGGAGAAACATGTCATCCACAAGGATAATTTAAAGGGCCAAAGCTATTAGACATTTTGAAAGCTAGTAGCAACGATGACTTCCTCAACTGCAGGAAAAACAACTATTAATAAATATGCAAGTTGCTTGAAGAACTATAAATAGCAATACATGCATATTGCCTTTAATGCAAATAACTTTTTTGTTTTGAAGTTGTGCAATGCTTGAAAAGGCATTCAAAGGAAAGTGAGATTAAAAAGTTGGCTCAGTAGATGCAGCGGCCCAAAGCGTCATTTGCACATTACATAACTTACATGATTTAAGATGTGCATACAGATACCTGCCTCTGTGCTTTTGTTCATCTACATTAACTTCAATACATCTACATATAAGAAAATATAAAATGCAAACAAGTGACTGTAAGCAACGTATGCATTTTCCAGAGAGCTCTGAATGAATGCTCCTACGTCCCTTGAGACGATTTAAGAAAAAGAAAGAAAAGGAGGCAGAAAAGCCTTTGCTATGGAGAAGAAAAATGGTTGCACAAACACTAACTAAAGGAAGAAGGAGTAAGATGGATGAAACAGTGAACTATGTAGAAAAGGACAATCCGTTTGGGATGTGGAAGGGGATGTCTAATATATACAAGCAGCAACAAAAACAGCAACAATGCTTGAAAATAAAGATCTTGTTCCAAAGAAAGAAAAAGCTCCACGGAAAAAAGTAAGCTAGGCCTGAAGTAAAATATTAACATCATGTTTTTCATCTTTTCACCTTTTGCAAATGACTGATTTAAAACTCGTCCAGAGCTTGCCCACTGTAGACTGAACACACAATTGCAGACACACTGCTGAGCAACAGCTGGAACCTTCAACATCGACAGGAAGAGTAATACCTCGATGCAATTACGCTTGGCTGCGTTTGCTGAAAAACTGAACGATGAAAGTTTTGTTTTAAAATGTCAAAGTGAAATGAAAGTGCGTAAGTCAAATTGTCCAATAACAATAAAATAGAATATAGCTATAGTCCATAGTAATGCAGCTGTCCCACTATTTCAGGCAAATACTTGAGTTAGAAGAGATATAAGCCTTGCATCTAAACTGAGTAAAATAGAATGACAAATGGCTGCTCTCACTAAGCTCCACTGCACAGTAGATTTAATGAGTGCTGACGATGCTTGTGGGTGTACGAACTCAAGAATGTTAGGGGTGAAGAAACTACTATTGGACTCCATGAGATTTTATTCATCTACTGTAATCATCAGTTCTCTGCTTACTTCTGAAGGACAAAATGTAAACACTACTTGCAATTGCCAGATAGGCTTCTTGAATGACATTATACACTATTTTTTTGGCCCCAGTTTAAGAAGGAAACTTGGAAAAGCTTGGAAGCTTAGAAAGTAGAAAAAATTGCAAGAAAAGAATTGTAGCTTAAATACCATCATTTCAAATGAAGCGTGAACACTCAACTTCATAAACAAATTCTCATTTCCATGTGATAACATCACCCTATAGAGGAAATAATCACTGCCACAGACCCACACTTAGTCCAGCTTATATGGAAAGAATAACTTATAATAAATGACCACCTGCAAGTAAGTGAGATTTTAAGAGCTTTTGACAAGCAAAGGGAAACATCATTTCATTCCTGGGCACCTTTTCATCTCATGCAGTAATAAGCAGAGAAGAAAGGAACAGTCAGAGTCCAACGTCAGCCTAGAGAGCATAACCTCCTTTACACTGAAGGAGGCAGAGTAGCTCTGCAAAGCTACTCATGCTCTCCTTCTCCAGACAACACTAAGCTGAGTGGTGCACTTGATACAATAGAAGGGAGGGATGCCATCCAGAGGGACCTGGACAGGCTCAAAAAGTGGGACTACATGAACCTAATAAGGTTTAACAAGATCACTGGGAAGAGGGAGAGAGTAAGTTCACTGCTGCACACCTGCATGAGCCTTACATGCAGGAAGGCAAGAAAAAAAAAACAACCAGAAAAAATAGCCAGCAGCTCATCAGATGCCTGTCAGCCTAATCAACAAGCAGAAGCATCATCTCCCTTTACCCATTAGCAGCTAGTCATGGTCCCAGCACTGGGTTGGACCAAGCTCAGCAACTGATGCCTGCAAGCACAAACACATCATTTACTTGGCAAAGTTAGTCCAAGGACATCAAAGACATTCTGTGCTATGTAAATACAACTGTGCTGCTTTTAGAGACATTTTTTAAGACTAGAAGCAGGTTCCTTTGCAGAAAGAAGGCAGCAATACCGGTATGAAAACCCCTTCCAGACCTACATATGTCTAAGCCCAGCACTGAGACTACTGGGAAACTTGTGGCAGTGCTGCTCACTGAAACATTGCTTTTGTTAACTTTGAGGTAGCAAATCCAATAGCACCTTAACCTAGGTGAGGCCTACAAGAATTTGATAGCACATCAGCACAATTACACTGTGCTCCCCCATTTCCAACAAGGGCTAACCTGAAGACCTCTAGATGAGGGTGTACCAAACTCCTTAGTATTTCCTTCCTTATTTCCTGTGCTTTTAAACATATTTATCAACCACCTAGACAATGGGATAGAATGCACCCTCAGCAAGTTTGCTGACAACACTAAGCTGAGTAGTGCAGTTGACACAATAGAAGGGAGGGATGCCATCCAGAGGGACCCAGACAGGTTCAAAAAGTGGAACTGCATGAACCTAATGAGGTTCAACAAGGCCAAGTGCAGAGCATGTCACTTGGGTCGGGGAAATCTCACATATGCATAACAGACTGGGAGAACTCCTTGAGATCAGCTCTTTTGAGAAGGACTTGGGGATTCCTGGTGGAAGAAAAGCTGGACATGAGTCAGCAGTGTGCTCTTGCAGCCTGGAAAGCCAACTGTATTCCAGGCTGCATCAAAAGAAGGGTGACAACAGGGAGACGTAGGCAACTGTCCCTCTCTACTCTGCCCTTCTGAGGCTCTGTTAACAGGCAGGTCTGGGGCTCCCAGCACAGGAAAGTCATAGAGCTGCTGGAGCAGGTCCAGAGGAGGGCCATGAAGACGAACACAGGGCTGGAGAACTCCCTTATGAAGAAAGAATGAGGGATCTGGTCTTGTTCAGCTTGAAAAAGAAAAGGCTCCAGTGAGACCTCACTGTGGCTTTCCAGTACTTGAAGGAAGCTTACAAACAGGAAGAGATCAACATTTTTCATTGTCTGATAGTTATAGGACAAGGGGGGATGGCTTTAAACTAAAAGAAGAGAGTTTTAGCTTAGATGTTAGGAAGAAATTCTTTACTGAGGACAGTGAGGTGCTGGCACAGCTGCCCAGAGAAGCTGTGGTGCCTCATCTCTGGAGGTGCTCAAGGCCAGGTTGGATGCCCAGGTTGGCCCTGGGCAGCTGAGCTGGTGGGGGGCAACCCTGCCCAGGGCACAGCGTGGGGCTGGGTGGGCTGTGAGGTCCCTTCCAACCAGTGCCATTCTATGATTCCATAATTTTCCCCCATATAGTCTTTCCTCCAACCCTCAGTTCCATCCCACTCTAGTTCATTTTCCAGGAGTCAGTATAATTTAAAACTTTCACTAAGAAAAAGAAAGAAACAAAAGTAAGAAACAAAAAATAACTTCTTTTTATAGTAAAAAGCCTTGGTAGACTATTCTGAGTTGTTCATAAAGAACAGATTTCTCTTATACATGAAAGACAGAAACTGTGAAAGCCCAACAGGCCCATCCATACACACAAGTGGTGTCTATATAAGGGAACATCATAGTCTTACCTGACAGATAAGCAAATTGTTTCTTTAACTGGTCGTGAATATCTGCTGCATAGAGGGGGATGATATCCTGATGCATGATTTCATCTGTGGAAGAAAAAAATGCATTGCAAAATTGTTTTGAATAAAATTTCACAGCAGAGAATAAGTAAAATAAAATCAGCATTAGAATACTAATACCCAAGAAATAGCCTAATTTTGAAAAACTATGTGAAAATACTGGGAGACTTCCAAATGTTTGCCTTTTCATAAATTTTTCATAAACTTTTCAGAAAGCATATTGATAAAGAAAATAAGTTGTGTGGATTTGCTGACACTTGAAAGGTATACTGCCTGTCTCTGAACCAAACACTGTGAAGTTAATATTCCTCAGGAACAATCTTAAACAGTGAGAGTTTACATATCAAATATTAAAATCTTCTCAACTCATACGAAAAAGGAACATGTACACATTGGCACCCAGCTTGCCAGGCCTTGCTGAAGCAATTCCACACTTCCTGGACTCTTACAATTGTTTCAGCACCTACCAACTTCACAGTGGCTCTTATGGAAGGAACAGCATGCAGCTATGGAAAACATCACTGCCTTCCAAAGGGAAATTTTACTGGTGAATAACCCTTGCACTGTTCTGCATGTGGCAGGCCTGACAGGACTGGACATACAGCTCCCATGTAGTGCACATATGAATACTTAGCCATGTAAAAGCTTTGTCCCATCTTTTATGTGGCCCTTCTACTCCAGCTTATTGGCAAGTGTAGTACTTTCAATTTTTGGCCAAAGAATCTGAGCTGAGGCACTTCCTCCAAAAGGAGAAGGTCAAGCAGAAACCTAAGCCGTCTGACCAAAATAAAGACCTTAATTTCCAAGGCATGACAGAGTTGCCTCATTGACTAAACTATGACCTTGTTCCGGCAAGGAAACAAAGTTTTACTCTTGAAATGCCTAAACCCTAACTATTCTGTCTTTTTAGCCTCACTGAAAAGCAGTGGAAGAATAACTTAGCATTTTTATTGCTCGGTTTGGAACATTTCTTTTAATCTACCATTACATAAAAAAGTTTTTTTTTTTTTTTTAAATACATTAAGTGTCATTAAGATATACTCAATTTTAACACTCAACTACATGCACAGAAAATGTAAGTAAAAATATACAGACATAGTATATGGATAAATGTTACCAGCTCTGAAGTACAAGCTGATCAAGTAGAAGTATTGCTTGATCCTAGAGCACAGGATTTATTCCTACTGAGACCTTTCAAATGTCAAAAATGCAGGGATTTCCCCATGAGCAATTCTCAAGTGTGCACAATTCTAAGAACTATGATTATTTGAGAACAGCCCCCCAAAATGGGCAGTTACTTCTTCCAGATAAGCACCAACTTATTCTGGGAAACAGAACTTCTCTGTTCCCTTTCCTCCAGCTCAACACTGAAGCAGCTGTGATCACTGTCAAGGTCACACCAATCAGAGCTATTTTTCTGCATCCGGTGAACTGCTGCTTGAACCAGAAGACCTCTGCATACCACACTGTCAGATCCTTAAGTGGTTAGGTCTAGCTGTCAAGTTACATTTCTTCATGACCTTCAGTTACGTCATCATCTTAATGTCTTAAAGGAAAAACTAGAAACAGATCTTTTACAAGTTTAACCTCAAATGGCCAACTCATTTCTGTTTCCCTCTCCAACTGCAAACAGATTTTGTTTTTAATGTGATTTTTAATATGAAGAGCTTACCTGCATTGTTTAATAAGTTAAAGTCAACCCCTGATTCTGCAAATCAGTCCCTATCAAGTGGAGCCATTTACCTGAACATACGGTATGATAGGATCAACGTCAACTTTTTCAGTGGGTGATGGGAAAAGGAGAAAAAGGCAAGAACCCTGTAATGCACTTCTAGTCACAGGCAGAAGTAATTTTTGCTATTATCACATAAGCACATTTTATATACATATATATATATATATATATACATACACATATACACACACACATATTGAATATTGAATAGGTAATATCTGATGCATAACATTCAAGTAGGCAAGACGTTCATAAGTCAGGGAAATGTGTCTGATAGACATAATAAGGATCACTACTTCCTAGCATGCCTGCATGATCTGTCATATCACTGTCCAACTCATGCCATGTAAAGACATGAGCACTGTTTTGGTTCTCCCCTGCTCTCTGTGACAGAAACAACAGCTTTTGCAACTAGCAAGCCTTGAAATTAAACACTTTCACTGAAAGAACTGTACTTTTCTCCTCAAGGTTTAAGTCTCACTTTAAAGTCACACTTAACAGCCAGAGTGCCTGTACGCAGACTGAGAGCCTCCTGGAGCCCATCCTGTTGCACTCCCTCTGCCACAGCACTGCCTCTCACCTGGTGCTTGCTTGTTTGGTTTCATAGCAGGCTTCAGGAAGTGGACTGTGTGTTAAGATCAGGGCTAACCTGCAATAATTTGGGAAAACTGAGATAACAAATAGTGTAAAACGAAGCAAGAAAATGAAACTCCCTTCATCCCCAAATGAACTTCCAAGCTGTTAGTGTTCAGCAGCCTGATGGGATGCACTTGAACCCTGCAGAAATGATGGGCTATAAAGAAAACCACAAAAGCACATGGCAAAGGATGGAGAGCAAGCATACGCTCTTGAACAAACAGTTATCATCAAAAACTAAAGACTTAGTAACCAAGAACATCCGTGAGACTAAGAAAGCAAATAAGCTTGTATAAAAGTCATGAGTCAGGGAATTTGCTTTTGCCTCTATTATGTTTGCTGTAAATTTCACTTGCACTATTACAATATTCTTCTTTTGTATGCAATCTAATGGATAAAAACTAAACTTCCAAATCCAAGAAGTTATGCATGCTAATAGATAGGACTAATTAAAAAGACCTAAAAGATACAGCCTTGAAGTTAAAATGACAAGTGAAAAGTAGCAGTTGTGTGTTCACTACTCCTATTGGTGATAAGAAAATAAAAAAATCTGTGAAATTATAACTACTAAAGAATAAAAGTTTTATATATTTAGCTGAAGAACAACCAACTTGCCCTTCTACAGCTGATGAATGGAAGCCAAAAATGCAAATGCAGTAGATGATATAACAGTTGCAATGCAAAAGCCAAAGTGCCCCAAACACACCAATGTGATTGGATGCTCTTCAGATACTACAACTCCCATGTTTATGCAACACCCACCAGGAAAGAAAAGCCAAGTTTCATTGAAACAGAAGCCTTCTCCTACTCTGCCCACTTTGCAGCTGTCTGTGTGGATTGCCATTTACACAGATGTTCCCCAAACATCCTCCTGATGAGTGCCATTAAAACAGTTTGACAAGCTATGACATAAAACTTATACACACTACGGAGTTCAATATGGGCTGCAAAGCCTTCACAGGACATTAAGTTCTGCATCTTATCACTTTGCAATCTTTATGCAGTGCAGGCTAGGAAATACTAATCGCTTCAGTGCTATGCTTCAGCATTCTGCTTAGCCAAAAGTTAGACTTACTGCTGCTTGGGGTAAGTTTTGCTTCTTATAGGACATAAGCAGGATTCACTTTTGAACTTCCTACCCCAGACATCTATACTGTAAGAAGATCACTACTAAAAAGACTTGCCATTGACAATACTTAGCAAAACATTCCTCAGCCTTTAAAAACTACCCTCAAAGTTGACTCAAGAGTACTGCATTTTGGATTTAGTATTACATACAATATCTGTTGGCAATGCAAACAAGAATGAACATGTTCAATCTTATTAAGATCAACTGCCAATAGGGATTGAAAAGTGAATTCAATAATCATTTTTGTGTTTTCTTATAAGCTAAACTGGATTATTTAAGAAAGAAAAACTATTCAAGCATTTTCCAGCAGCCTCAAAAGAGAGGAATAAAGTTGTCAAGTCACTGCTCATGCTTATAAGAACAATTCATTATCCCAGTCTCCTCTGGAGGCTGCCCTCCCAAGAACTCTTTTCATGAATTTTGACAGAAACCCCTGCCAGCTCTTCCCTCTCCCACATTCTGTCTCCTTTCAGGGTAAAAGCCCTGAAATTAATTGCCCCGCATTACTTTCTCTATATCTAGAATTCCCCCCAAATAAAGAGTTATTCAAAAGTTGGAGTTCAATCTGATTTTGCAGGAAGTTTCTCGATCAACACATGGATATCTGGTGTCCTTACTAGAAGGCAATGGAAGCTTGCACTTGCTGCGTAGTCTACAAGGGCACGTGCTCCTTTGGCTCACAGATCTGGAGAAATAATATATTTAAATTTCTTTAAATTTCTTTAATATCCTCTAAACAGAGAACCCGACACCTGCTCTGCTCTTCAGGGACTATTTTCATTTTAGTGAAGCTAATTAAGTGCATATTAAAATAGTTACTAAAGAAATCTGTTTTCTAAGGAATTTTTAAGGGCACGCTTACATGAAATAATATTCATGCAGACCATGACTATTATTATTTTTAATTTTACACTGACTGTCTGACACACCGTTTTCAAACAGATACCCAAGAGTTTGGTTTACTGTATGTGAAAGAGATACTCACACTACAGCATGTTAGAATATCCAGTTTTTCTTTAACAGTTCATTTAAAGAGATTTCTTGAGTAGCTTGCTTAACATAAAGCCCTCAAGATTCACAGCACATCTGGTATTGTAGCTGCTGTAAAATAAGTTTTTTTTTTTTTTTTTTTTTTTTTTTTTTAAGTTATTGCCACTTTTTAAAAAATTAAAATAATAATTTTAAAACTGAACATACAACAGCTGGGAATGCAGAAAGATTTTTTTTTCCCTTAAGCCAACACCTAGAGGTTCTTTAAAAAGTAAGATGAAAAAAACTAACAAGAGCTAGTGTTGAAATTGAATCTAAGAGAAGACAGAAGTATTATCTTACTAATGTAGAGATATCAGTTAAATATATATATTTTTTTTTCATGGAAAAGATTGTTTCTCTTAAGAAATGTATTTTAAAAGTGCCTTCTAACTCCATTTGAAATCTTGATTTAATAGTTCTGCCTCTATCTATGAGGGAGGAAGACGGCTTAGAGAGGTCTGATGCCAAATCATCAGCAGCAATTGCCTACATCTC